ATTTTACATCTGCCAAACAGTGTATGGCATTCCAATTTCTTCACATCCTCACTGCCAGCGCTTGTTTTTGATAGTAGCCATCCTAATGAGTATGAGCTGGGGTCCCATTATGGTTTTCATTTACATTTCCCTAATGATTAGTGATATAAACATCTTTTCATGTGTTTTTTGGAGAAAGATCTAGTCAAGTCCATTGTCCATTTTTTTTTTTTTTTTTTTAGACGGAGTTTCGCTCTTGTTACCCAGGCTGGAGTGCAATGGCGCGATCTCGGCTCACCGCAACCTCCGCCTCCTGGGCTAAGGCAATTCTCCTGCCTCAGCCTCCTAAGTAGCTGGGATTACAGGCACACGCCACCATGCCCAGCTAATTTTTAGTATTTTTAGTAGAGATGGGGTTTCACCATGTTGACCAGGATGGTCTTGATCTCTCGACCTCGTGATCCACCCGCCTCGGCCTCCCAAAGTGCTGGGATTACAGGCTTGAGCCACCGTGCCCGGCCCATTGTCCATTTTTTAATCGTTGTTTAGTGTTTTGATTGTTGAGCATTAGGAGTTCTCTCTATATTCTGGATATTAATCTCTTATCAAATATACGATTTTCAAACACTTTCTTCCATTGTGTGGGTTGACTTTTTACCCTTTTTACTCTGTTAATTTTGCCTTTTTGTTTTGTTTTTTGGTTTGCTTTTTTTCTTTTTTTTTTTTTTTTTTTTTTTTTGAGACACGGTCTTGCTCTGTTGCCCAGGCTGGAGTACAGTGGTGTGATATTGGTTCACTGCAATCTCCGCCTCCCAGGTTCAAGCGATTGTCCCACCTCAGCCTCCCAAGTAGCTGGGACTACAGGCATGCATCACCAGGCCTGGCTAATTTTTGTATTTTTAGTAGATATGGGGTTTCACCATGTTGGCCAGGCTGGCCTCAAACTCCTGACCTCAAATGATCTGCCCACCATGGCCTCCCAAATTGCTGGGATTATAGGTGTGAGACACTGCACAGACCTGATTTTGTGTTTTGATGCACACAAGTTTTATGAAATCCAATTTGTCTAGTTCTTTTTTTTATCTGTGTCTTTAATGTCATATCCAAAAAATCACTGCCAAATCCAACACTGTGGAGATTTTGCTCCAAATTTTCTTCTAAAAATTGTATAGTTTTAGGTTACTTTTAGGTCTTTGATCTATTTTGAGTTAATTTTTGTATATGGTGTTAGATAAGGGTCCAGCTTCATTCTTTTGCATGTAGATATCCAGTTTTCCCAGCACCATTTGTTGAAAAAGCTGTCCTTTTGTCATTAGTGGTCATGGCACCCTTGCCAAAAATCATTTGACCATATATTCACAGCTTTATTTCTGGGCTCTCTATTTTATTGCATTGATCTATATGTCAGTCTTTATTCCAGTGCCACATTGTTTTGATTACCGTAGCTTTGTAGTAAGTTTCAAAATCAGTAAGTATGAGTCCTCCAGCTTTGTTCTTTTTCTTTTTCTTTTTCTTTTTTTTTTTTCATGTTGTGTTATGTTTTGCAGCTTTTTAAAAATATATATTTTTTTATTCTACTTTGTCTGGGATACACGTGCAGATCATGCAGGATTGTTTATAGGTACATACATGGCAATGTTGTTTGCTGCCTCCGTCCCCCAGTCACCTATATCTGGCATTTCTCCCAATGTTATTCCTCCCCAACCTCCCAACCCCAGCTTTGTTCTTTTTCAAGATTGTTTTGGCTATTCAGGGTCCCTTGAGATTCCATGTGAATTTTAGGATTTTTTTTTTTTCTCCAAAAATGTCATTGGGATTTGGACTTTATTGTTTCTAGAGTCCCTTTGCATATACTGTCGCCAACATTCTAAAGATGATTTCCATATTTTACAGATGAGGAAAGCTATACTTGGAGAAATGAAATGCCCAAGGCCACGTATTAGAATCAGTAACAGCCAGGTCTAACAGCCAGATTCAATGTCACTGTGCTGGGCCCACCCAGGCTCTGGAAGGAATACTATTTTTTTTTTTTTTTAATTGCTTGTAGCACTTTAATACTTGAATGTGTATCCACCAGGGAGAATCTTGCAAATAACATGGTTCCAGCTCGCAAACTCCTGCCCCAAAATGTTTGAGGAAGCGGAGGCTAGCTTGTTTGTCAGTCCACTTTTGGTTCTATTCCCCAGTTTCACTTGTAATCACGGAGTGGAGAAATGCAGCTGCCGGGAATAGCATGGGTGACGCTGACTTAGGCTAGAGGCAGCGTTTCTGGCCTCCCGCCCTTCCCACAGGCAGAGGAAATGCCCAAATAACTCCCCAGCCCCAGCTGCAGCAGGAAACCAAAGCCGTGCCTGGAAAGAAGAGAGTTAGAAATTTACCATGACTTGTCCGCCAGCAGAATCGCTGGATTCTGCCTCAAATCTGTAGCTGGACCACAGCTGGGAAAATTGGATCATTAGGTCATCTTGTTTATTCCTGAGGCGTGCTGTTTCCTGACCACTCCTGAAACAGATGCTGTGGCCCATGGCTCATCCAGGAAGTGTGACTCAGAGGCAGGTTCTGATGGGCACCCCCTTTCCCCTTCATCCTTGCAAACTCAAGATAAACTAAAATATGCGACCCCCCCCCTCACTGCTGCGGGCCACTACCACCCCAATTCCTTTGTTGAAGCCCTGACTCCTAATGGAATTATATTTGGAGATAGGGCTTTTAGGAGATACTTAGGATTAAAAGAGTCATAAGGGTGGAGGTCCAACCCAACAGGATTGGTGGTCATAGAAAAGGAAGAGAGAGAAGTCTTTTTTTTTTGAGATGGAGTTTCACTTTTATTACCCAGGCTGGAGTGTAATAGCGTGATCTCAGCTCACTGCAACCTCCGCCTCCTCGGTTCAGGCAATTCTCCTGCCTCAGCCTCCTGAGTAGCTGGGATTACAGGCACACGCCACCACGCCCAGCTAATTTTTTGTATTTTTAGTAGAGACGGGGTTTCACCATGTTGATCAGGTTGGTCTTGATCTCTCGACCTCGTGATCCACCCGCCTCGGCCTCCCGAAGTGCTGGGATTACAGGCTTGAACCACCACGCCCAGCCACTGAGAGAGAAGTCTTTCTTCCTCTCATGCACCAAGGAAAGGCCATGTGAGAACACAGCAGAAAGGTGACTGTCTACAAGTCAGAAAGCCGGCCTTTACCAGAAAAGGATCAGCCAGCAGCGCCTTGATCTTGAACTGCCAGCCTCCGGAACTCTGAGAAATAACTTCTGTTGCTGAAGCCACCCAGTCTGTGGTATTTCATCATGGCAGTCTAAGCCTAAGCCAGGAGACATGCCCTGGTACTTTTTCTTCTATATCCTACTCTGTCTGCCCTCTACTCCTCTCTAATCTCAAGGCTGGGTCCTGGGACCCTGCCCAGCAGGACTAGGGGCATTAAGGACCTGGTTTTGTTTCTTGAGCCATGCCTTACCCTCTTGCCCTGCTTCCCTGACCCCTCTGTCCTGACCGTGGCTGCTGGGGAACAGGGCAGGTTATGGGATCAGAGTGGGACTTGCCAGGGGAGGGCTCTGGAGCTGCACTGTCTGCTCACCAAGCAGCCTTTGGAGGTACCTGGGAAAACGAACAGGCCTTCAAGTCAGGTAAGACTGGACTCCCAGGCTCTTCTGTAAAGTAGACAGCTTGATCTACGACCTACCTCTTTAGTGGTTGAACGCCTTAAATGAACTAACATTGGATGCTCTCAGAAAAAAAAAACAAAACTTACACCTGTAACCCCACCACTTTGGGAGGCCGAGGCAGGTGAGTCGCTTGAACCCAGGTGTTTGAGACCAGCCTGGGCAACATGGCGAAGCCCCATCTCTACGAAAAACACAGAAATTAGCCAAGCATGATGGTGCATGCCTGTAGTCCCCAGCCACTTGGGGAGCTGAGGTGGGAGGATGACTTGAGCCCGGGAGGTGGAGGTTGCAGTGAGTCCAGATGCCATCACACTCCAGCCTGGGTGACAGAGCCAGACCTTGTCTCAAAAAAATCCCAAAAAGCTGCTTTCCCGCTCCCTGCTCACTCTTCCCTCCTCCCCATTAGCAAACTTAAATCATTCCCTTTAGCAACCCTGATCAGGCTCCAATCCAGGATCCCAATTTTCTAATTTGTAAAACGTGCATATGAATCATGTCTCCCTTGGATTAAAAGAGGTAATGTGTGCAGAGGGCCTCTGTCGAGGTGGCACCTCAAGAAAGGATGGGCGTGTCCCTTCATTATCACGTCCTCACCCTCATCATCATTCTTCCACAGACTGACCGCTCCGCCCACACAGGTTAAGAAAGCCAGTCACAGGGCCGGGCGCGGTGGCTCAAGCCTGTAATCCCAGCACTTTGGGAGGCCGAGGCGGGTGGATCACGAGGTCAAGAGATTGAGATCATCCTGGTCAACATGGTGAAACCCCGTCTCTACTAAAAATACAAAAAATTAGCTGGGCATGGTGGCGTGTGCCTGTAATCCCAGCTACTCAGGAGGCTGAGGCAGGAGAATTGCCTGAACCCAGGAGGCGGAGGTTGCGGTGAGCCGAGATCGCGCCATTGCACTCCAGCCTGGGTAACAAGAGTGAAACTCCGTCTCAAAAAAAAAAAAAAAAGAAAGAAAGCCATCACAGCCGTCAGTCGGAGGCTGCGGGTGCTGGCCTGCTAGGCAGGCGCTATCAGCATCACCTGAGCAGACACCCAACCTCTCTGAGTTCCTTTTCCCCCGACAGCTGGTCCTCAGATGACCTAAGGGAGGGAGGCCAAGGCACCAAGGACTGGGAAATGGCTTCGTCAAATGTGAAATGTGCTCCAGGACTACACATCTTCAAGGAGTATCAGAGGCATTTGAACCAGAGCGACTCCATCTGGAATAGGGGCCGGGTAAAATGAGGCTGAGACCTGCTGGACTGCATTCCCCAGAGCGTAGGTATTCTAAGTCACAGGAGGAGACAGGAGGTCGGCACAAGGTACAGGTCACAAAGACCTTGCTGATCAAACAGGTTGCAGTAGGCCTCCTGGTGCTCACCCACAGGCTGTTCTTACACTGACTCTGGAGGAAGAGGAGGTAGATTAGAGTAAACCTACCCCATATACACCTCCGCCCAGGCGCCGGGCCTGGTCTGTATTACGAAATGGGGGACAGAGAAAAGAAAAAAAACAATAAAAAATAAAACAGGTTGCAGTAAAGAAGCCAGCCAAAACCCACCAAAGCCAAGGACAAGAATGACCTCTGGTCATCCTCACTGATCATTATATGCTAATTATGAAATGTCAGCACGCTAAAAGACACGCCCACTAGTGCCATGACAGTTTACAAATGCCATGGCAACATCAGGAAATTACCGTAGATGGTCTAGAAGGGAGAAGAGCTCTCGGTTCTAGGAATTGCCCATGTCTTTCCTGGGAATCTCATGAATAATCCACCCCTTGTTTCGCATATAATCAAGAAATAACCATAAGCATAACCAGCTGAGCAGCCCGTTCTTTAAATGGAGTAGCCATTCTTTCTTCCTTTACTTTGCTAATAAACTTGCTTTCACTTTGCTCTGGGGACTTGCCCCCATTTCCTTCTTGTGTGAGGTGCAAGAACCCTCTCTTGGGGTCTGGACTGGGACCCCTTTCTGGTGATAGTAGTGGCTCCAAAGAGTTGGGTTGGACTTCTGTATCATTGCTGGTTTACACAGTTGGGTGGAAGGGGGCCTGAGGCCACGACACGTGGTTGTCCAGTACAGGTTGGGAAGCCACATAAGCAGCGGCACAGGCCCCAATGTGGAAGGCAGAAACCCCAGCCTGGGGTTCCTTACAACACACGGACATTTTTTCCATGTCAGTGGAGAGAGGGGAGCAGTCCAGAGTCTGGCTGGCTACAGAACACTCCTGCTAAAACACAAAACCCAAAGCCAAACACAGCAGCAGCTTTGACCTCTGCTTCAAACCAGCTTGAACTGGAAAAGGCTGCCCGCTTTTCCAGCTCTGCTCCTGACGGTGGCTCCTGTTCTGGGAGCTAGAGCTCCTGGTGCATGTGCCAGAGACATGCCCTGCAAGGGTCAGTAGGTAGATTTCTCCCTGAAACATAATAGCTCCATGACTAATGGGGGGTGGACATAATGTTAATCAGATGTGTATATATACATATTATTACTTCAATATGTAATCAATCTAAAAATTGTGAATGAGATATTTTGTATTCTTTTTATAGTAAGTCTTTGAAATTCAGTGTGTGTTCTGTACTTAAAGCATTTCTTAATTTGGACTAGCCACAATTCAAGTGCTTGATAGTCATATGTGGCTAGCGGCTACCACATTGGACAGCACACATATAGACCTGTGAGTGCAAAACTTTAGTGTGCATCGGAATCCCCTGAGGTGCTTGTTAAAACACTGAATTGTTAGGCCCCACCCCCAGAGTTTCAGATTCAGCTAGTCTGAAGTGTTGCCTGGGAATTTGCATTTCTGACAAGTTTCTAGTAATGCTGCTGGTCCAGGGACCACACTTTGAGAACCACTGGCTTAAACAGTCCTCTGAGGCAAGCAAGAAACATGCTTTCTGGTTTACCTCTGGGGAAACTATGTCATTACTACAAAGCTACAGTAATCAAGCAGTGTGGTACTGACATAAGGACAGAGATATAGATGAATGGAATAAAACTGAAAATGCAGAGATAAATTCTCTCAGTTATTGTCAGTTGATTTTTGGCAAAGATGCCAAGACAATTAAAAGGGAAAAAGAATAGTCTTTCCAGTACATGGTGCTGGGACAACAGGATGGCCAAATTCTTTTTTTTTTTCTTATTTTATTTTTTTTTAATTAATTAATTATTATTTTTTTTTTTGAGACAGTCTCGCTCCATTGCCAGGTGCCAGGCTGGAGTGCAGTGCACAATCTTGGCTCACTGCAACCTCTGCCTCCTGGGTTCAAGCAATTCTCCTGCCTCAGCCTCCGGAGTAGCTGGGACTGCAGGCACGTGCCACCATGCCCAGCCAACTTCTATATTTTCAGTAGAGAGGGGGTTTCACCATGTTGGCCAGGGTGGTCTTGATCTCTTGACCTCGTGATTTACCACCTTGGCCTCCCAAAGTTCTGGGATTACAAGTGTGAGCCACCGCACCCAGCTATAATTTTATTTTTTAAATGGAGTTTTGCTCTTCTTGCCCAGGCTGGAGTGCAATGGTGCAATCTCAGCTCACTGCAGCCTCCACCTTCTGAGTTCAAGTGACTCTCCAGGGGATGGCCAAATTCAAAAAAATAAAGGCGGATCCCTACCTCACACCATATACAAAAATTAACTCAAAATGGATCAAACCTAAATGTAAGAGCTGAAAGTACAAAACTCTTAGAAGAAAACACAAGCATAAATCTGCATGACCTTGTATTAGGCAATAGTTTCTTAGATGTGACACCAAAAAGCACAGGCAGCCAAAGAAAAGGTTGATAAGCTGGACTTTATCAAAATGAAAAACTTTTGTGCTTCAAAGGACACCATTGGGAAAGTGAAAAGAAAGACCATGGAATAGGAGAAAATATTTGCAAATCATATATCTGACAAGGGATTTGCATCTAGAATATATACAGATTTTTTTTTTTTTGAGATGGAGTCTCACTCTGTCACTCAGGCTGGTGTGCAGTGGCATGATCTTGGCTCACTGCAGCCTCCATCTCCTAGGTTCAAGAGGTTCTTCTCCCTCAGCCTTCTGACTAGCTGGAATTACAGGTGTATGCCACCGCACCTGGCTAATTTTTGTATTTTTGGTAAAGACAGGGTTCCACCATGTTGGTCAGGCTGGTCTTGAACTCCTGACCTCATGATCCACCTGCCTCAGCCTCCCAAAGTGCTGGGATTACAGGCATGAGCCACTGTGCCTGGCCAAATATATACAGAACCCTTACAAGTTAACAATAAAAAGTCAAATGACCCAATTTTAAAAGTAAGAAAGGATATAATTAGACCTTTCTTCAAGGAAGATATACAGTAGGCCAATAAGCACATGAAAAGAAGTTCAACCTCATTAATCACCAAGGAAATGCAAATCAGAACCTCAGTGAGATACCACTTCACACTGCTAGGGTGGCTGGAATTCAAAAGGTGGCCAGTAACAGGAGAGGTGAGGATGTGGGGGAAGTGGAACCCACTCACATTCGTGGTGAGAATACAAAATGGTGTATTGGCTATGAAAAACAGTGTGTCGGTTCTCTGAAAAGTTCAACGTAAAGGCTACCATATGACCCTGCAATTCTGTGCCTGGGTATGTATCCAAGAAAATTGAAAATCTAGGTCCACACAAAAACTTATATGTGAATGCTGACAGGAGGACTCCTCATAAAACCAGCAAAGTGGAAACATCCCGAAGACCAGACATTGAAAAATAGATAAACAGAATGTGACGTATCCATACAATGAAGCATTATTCAGCCATAAAAAGAAATGAATTACAACTACATACTGCAACATGTTGAACCCCAAAAACATCATACTACCTGAAAGAAGCCACACACAAAAGGCCACGTACTGTGTGATCTTATCTACATGAAATGCTCAGAATAGAATAGTCCGTACAGACCAACAATGAATGTGAGGCTGCCAGAGGCTGGCGCTAGAAGAGAGTGACCACGAGTCGGGACAGGATTTCTTTCTGGAATTAGAGTGGTGAAGGTTGCACAGCTTTGTGAACATAGTGAAAACCCGAGTTGTATACTTTAAAAATAAATAAGCTTTTTTGCCAGGTGCAGTGGCTCATGCCTGTAATCCCAGCAATTTGGGGGGCCAAGATGGGCAGATCACGAGGTCAGGCATTCGAGACCAGCCTAGCCAACATGGTGAAACACCCATCTCTACTAAAAATACAAAAAAAAAAAAAAAAAAATTAGCCGGGCTGTCTGTAATCCCAGCTACTCAGGAGGCTGAGGCAGGAGTATCGCTTGAACCCAGGAGGTAGAAGATGCAGTGAGCCAAGATCACGCCACTGCACTCCAATCTAGGTGACAGAGTGAGACTTCCTCTCAAAAACTAAAAAATAAATATAAATAAATAAATAATAAGCTTTTTTAAAAAAAAAAGCAGAGAGGAGGACATTTACCTCAAATCATATAGGTAATAAATGTCAGGTAAGAGCCAGACCCTGGACTACAGATGCCTAAGGAATTTTTTCTCCATACCTCACCCGGCCTGTGGGGCACCAGTTTTATTTTTCTTTTGAGACAGTCTGCTTTTTCTGCCCAAGCTGGAGTGCAGCGACTCCATCATAGCTCACTGGAACTTCAAACTCTCAGGATCAAGCAATCCTCCCACCTCAGCCTTCTAAGTGGCTGGAACTACACGCATGTGCCACCACGACTGGCTGACTTTTAAATTTTTAGTAGAGACAGGGTCTTACTATGTTGTCCAGGAGATCTCAAACTTCTGGCCTCAAGCAATATTCTCGCCTCAGCCTCCTGAAGCCCCTCACCCAGCCAGGGGCTACGCTTTCTGAGGTACTGCTAGAACATGGCATTAGAAGAAACCTGAAGGGCAAATCCATTTTACAAAGTGAAAGAAAAGTTTCACAGAAGAAAAAATCCCATTGGCCAGTAAATGTAAGAAAGATGCTCAACTTTATCCAGGACCAGGAAAGGCAAAATCAAGGCACAGTGAGAGCGCATTTCCTACCCAGCCGTGCCAGGGGTGGAGGAGGAGGTGTGTGGGGGTGGGGGTGGAGTTCCACACACACTCGGGAGGAGTGTAACTTTGGAGAGCAATTTGGTAAAATCTAGGAAAGTTGGAGAGGTGCTTCCTCTCGTTACCTACCCTCAGGAAATGCCTACAGAAACCAGAAGCCACATGTAAGGACACCATGGTGACACTGTACGATGGAACTGAAAGTAGCCCAAATGTCCAGCAATAGAGGAAGGAGTAAATATGGCATATAACATTCCATTCTTTTTTTTTTTTTTTTTTTTTTTGAGACAGAGCCTTGCTCTGTCACCTAGGCTGGAGTGCAGGGGTGTGATCTCGGCTCACTGCAACCTCCACCTTCTGGGTTCAAGTGATTCTCCTGCCTCAGCCTCCTGAGAAGCTGGGATTACAGGCACACACCACCATGCCCAGCTTGTTTTTGTATTTTTAATAGAGACAGGGTTTCACCATATTGATCAGGCTGGTCTCAAACTC